CAGCCATACATCTTCTCAACTCCGGCAGACAGTAGACAGGGGAAGCAACAACACCCAATGCCCCTTATAGACAGTTACCGTCCATTCACATCAGGGCAGGGAGGAGGAGGAGGAGAATGATGACGTAAACACCTGTGACGTAAACACCTGTGACGTAAACACCTGTGACGTAAACACCTGTACTTGGAAGCAACAAAACAGCACCTGAGATGATGATAGTACAGGTAGGTTAGGTTAGGTTACTGATTGTGATAGTGAAATATATGACGTCATTTAAAGCTCCGTGTGTGTGTGTGTGTGTGTGTGTGTGTGTGTGTGTGTGTGTGTGTGTGTGTGTGTGTGTGTGTGTGTGTGTGTGTGTGTGTGAGATGAGAGATACACTCACCTGTGGTACGCTGCATTACGCCATACAAATGGTTTGAGGATGGGTGACATCACTTTTGTTGTTGCTGGACCAATGTATAATAAAGCTTATAAATAATTGGAATGTCTCTCTCACGTCAGCCTGGCCCCACAACCACATCGTTACGTTCAAGAATCTCACGGAAGCTGATGAGAAAGCTTAGGTTAGTTCACTGTTGTAATGATGCTTCAAGACCCCAGGGGTGACTGTTCCTCCAGCAGACTCGAGTACAACCTTCAACCACCTCCTCCTCCAGACTCAAGTACCACCTCCACCTCCTTCTCCACACTCGAGTACCACCTCCTCCTCCTCCTCCTCCAGACTCAAATACCATTAATTTCTTAAATAATTAGTGAAGATCTTTGTAATGGTGGTTAATTGGGTTGTAATTAATTATATCTCGCTGTTCTTGTTCTTCTGTTGCTCTCTCTCTCTCTCTCTCTCTCTCTCTCTCTCTCTCACACACACACACTTATTCTCGGTTCTTATGTCTCTCACTCTTCATATATTTCTTAGTATCTCTCATTCATTTTCTACCTCTCTCACCTTTTCTCTCTTCCTATCTTTCTCTCTCTATCCCTCCTATCTCTTTTGTATTCTCTCTATGTTTCTTTCTGTCTCTTTCTACCCATCTCTGAATCTCTCTCACTCTCTTTCTATATCTCCTTATCTCTATATCTCTCAGTATCTGTCTCTATCTCCCTCTCATTCTCTCTATCTCTCAGTATCTCTCTCTATCTTCCTCTCATTCTCTCTATCTCTCCCCGTCTCTCTCTCTCTACTGACCCCTTGTACTGTTGGCAGCTCAGTACAGGTATACAATGTGTGTTTATGTGTCAAGTGTATAACTGTGTATGTATGGCAGAGGTTGTGTGGCTGTATGAGGATGCAGTTTCAACGTGTGTGTGTGTGTGTGTGTGTGTGTGTGGTTGGGGTGTAGGTAGTGAAGGAGGTGTAGGCGTGGTGGGTAAGGGGTGTGTAAATAAGTAGATCTGACACACCGTAGTTACCTCCATCCTACCACAGGTTCATTCCTCCACCCTACCACCGCTTCACCCCCCCAATTCTACCACAGGCCCACCCTCCACCCTACCACTGCCCACTCCCTCCCAATCTACCACCACCCAAGATACTGATACTTGTTTCACTTAAAATTATCCAGAACAAACTTTCACACACACGGTTATTAAAAACATTGACAAAAAAAGAGTCATAAACACACACACACACACACACACACACACACACACACACACACACACACGTCATCTCTCACCTGTTGAAAAATTAGGCTTTTCAAACGTTTCTGATGTAATTAATGACAGTTTTATCATGTCATGAGCCTGACCTCCTTGTTAACTGGCTGCTACGAGTGTGCGTGTATGTGTGTACAGTTTGTGTGTGTGTATGTATGTGTCTATGTGTGTCTGTTCGGAGTAGTGTGTGTGTGTGTGTGTGTGTGTTTGTACGAGAAAGAGAGAGAGATTTGCTACACGTAGACTCTCGTCACGTATGAAATCCCGTCACACGACATAACACTTAAAGTAACACCTGCTGCCTCAGTAACGCACTCGCACAGTAACGCACTCACCTAATAACGCACTCACCTAGTAACGCACTCACCTAATAACGCACTCCTTTAACAAAACAAGTGAAGTTATCAGAGTACTTGTGATATAAAGCAACTCTGCGTCTGGGGAAATTTATGTCCCCCTAAAATTATAATGTTGAGTGACGATGACACGACTGGTTCACTCTACCTCACTATTAACCCCTTACTATAACACATGCTCACGTGATAGTTGTGTTTAAGGTTAGGTTAGATTAGGTTAGGTTTAGGTTAGGTTAGGTTTAGGTTAGGTTTAGGTTAGGTTAGGTTTAGGTTAGGTTTAGGTTAGGTTTAGGTTAGGTTAGATATAATACTTTATTGGCCGGGTCTCGTGTTGGAGGCTGGCCGGCACGACAACCACACCCTGAGTTAACGAGCTGTATGACCCAGTCTGGTGTCAAGAGATACACCTACAAGCCCGGATAATTCACCAACTCTATTGGTTAACCGTTAACCTAAAAAAACCCGATCCGCAAATTGATTAATATCCAAGTTTCCAATTACTGTTGGGTAGACAGAGACAAATGGCGTAAAGAAACTAGTCCAAATTTTCACCCGAACGAACCCTGGACCATTGGTTTCTGAGACGAGTATGATAACCACTATACCAAACGAGATATTTTCCTACAACACGTCAAGTTTATCACTAACAGTCACCAACTTATTTCACCTACAAGAAAAACATAATAATTAATCTTTATTACCTACATTACCTGTAATTATCTCACCTATTTCTAAAATTTCAAACAACACATATCTGAGGGATTTCTTATTTTCGTCAATCTAAGTATAGGTCTGGCCACCACACTCACAAGTTTACCAGTCAGACACTTCATAAAGAAAGAAAATAAGAGTTACACCACACACGGGGAACCAGGCCAGGGAACTACGACCACCTGTCTCACATACTGGGGGGGGCTCTGGTGCTGCTCTTATTATATGTAACCTTTTTGTAACATAGAGCTCCCGTGCTCATCTTTAAAGAGCACACACACACACACACACACGCACACACACACACACACACACACACATTTTGAAGCCATGCACGCTTGAGGTAAGGAGATATTCTGTGGTCAATAGTAATTATTTTTTATTATACAAAACACTTGAGTACAATACTGCATAAAAGAACAGTATTGGAATTTTCTGATAAAAAGGAGGGGAAGGGGGGGTCCGGCCCACCACTCCCCTGGATCCGCCCCTGCCACACACACGCCATACAATACATGAACCGCAATCAGACACGGTCGATGAACCTGGTTGACCGCGGTTTACACCTCACCCGCGGTTATTCAGCAGTGTGTCGATAATGGACCGATCACCTGGTTGGCAACACTGTATCATCTTACCTCAGGTATTTCAAAACAATTATCACCTGAAGATTACCCCCCAAGTTATTTGACCTAAAGATTAACCACCCTAACGATTACCTAATCTAACCCAAAATTAACCTAACCTGACGCTAAATTAACCTTACACTAACCTAACCTAATCTAATACCTTGGTCACTAGGGCGGTGAGGGTGAAAAAAAAAATCGAGGTTCTGATTGATTATTGACAGAAATTTTACAACATAAATATGGCCGCCATTTTCCTATTCTCTATAAGACTTAAAATATAAGATCATATCACAGTACTTCAACACTTACGGCAAATCATTTACAGTCGTCTGAGTACAGTGCTGTAAATTATACCTGTACCGGAGAGTAGAATGACAAAAACACTTCCTTTTTACTGAAATTTATTGTCGGTCTGTAAGGGCTGTCTTAAAAACAGAGCACAGGTAACAGACAGCTATTTATTATACCTGTCGTAACCCTGTCTTGTCATGTAACCAGTTTGGGGGGTGGTTAACACTTTACACACCAAATGAGTTTTTTTCTTCACCAACATAATGATTTGTTATTGTGAGGTATGTGTGTGTGTGTGTGTGTGTGTGTGTGTGTGTGTGTGTGTGTGTGTGTGGACAAGCTTACTCTATACCTGTACACTTACCTGTTCTTGGTGTACTGTAGGTGAGTGGGAGAATTATTACAGCATTGGGATCACCTGAAGAATAGCACCCCTCCGAGCCTATTTTACTTGATAATTTACCACCCCAACCCCCTCTAACGCTATCTGGGAGGCGGGAATAGGTTAGGTTAGGTTAGCATCAATGTATGTTTTTAGAATGATAAACAAACCAATTAATTACTTTACAAATTAACTTTACCTACGACAATTTTTCCCCATGACATATACACAAATGTTACCAATAATTCTGACTAAATTAAGAGACCAGTGTAGGTGATGTATAGACTGAGTGCTAGGGAGTAGGTGATTGGCAACACTGTAATTATGGTCCCTAACTAATAACCTAATATTATGGCAATTAACTCGTATTATTCACTCATTAACACAGGTAAGTGATGGTAATGTCTATAGTTTATGAGACCAGCGTGACCACACACCATACGATTATACGGGTGTCTTACTAACAAACAGACAGTGATGATGACACTCAACAGCCACAGTGGAGGAGAAGTCTGTAATGTCTGTGGAGATCTCTGAGAAATCTATAAAGTCTGTGAAGATTTCTATACTGCCTTAGACTCTATACTACATTCAACCGTGTACTGTAGGCATAGTGTTCAGTGTGTTACGAGGAGGAGGAGGAGGAGGAAGAGGAGGAAGAGGAGGAGGACCACCCTGAGAGACGCACCTTATACTGTAGTCTGTTTCATCATGTGTGTGTGTATGTCTGGAGCCACTACCGCAATACGTCTAAGCACACATTCCTCTGCCATATGACGCCCGCCAAGTTGATGTAATGCACGTCCTTCACACACACACACAGGCTGACTTGTTGTTTATCGTTAGTACTGTGTTGCTCTCTCTCTCTCTCTCTCTCTCAACCTCTACTACTTAACCCGTAAACAGTAGTAGCTATAGAGAATGGACGTCAACCTAACCTATATTTACCCCCTTAAAATCTCCCTGTTGCAGATGGCCACTATGAAGACAACGTTAATATTCTGCCTCTTCCTCTGCCACTCCGTCCCGAGCTCACGCGGCCACAGGTCACGGAGAGGTCTTCAGGGTAGTGGGGACGATCATCACGACCACGCCCACGATCACGCCAAAGCCTCAGCCAGTGAAATCGTAGCTGCTATCGACGCCAGAGGCAAGTGTATTGTGGATCAGCCATTGTAAGCAGGATATATTTTTTTCACGCTTCCCATTGCATCGTGTTTAAGGTATAGGTTATGTAAAAGTGATGATAAAGTAAAGGTAATGTTTTTATAGTTGCTGTTTAGATATTCAACAAAAGTACATACATACATAAATACATACATACATAAATACATACATACATAAATATATACATACATACATACATACATACATACATACATATTTTGATTGATTTATTTGCGTTTTTATCAACAGGATCAAGATCTTCGCCGTCCTCTGGTAACCCTCCGCCAAATTCCTGGTTGTACAAGTTCCCTCCCTGGTTCCTGCCAAGTAACCCGGCCCCTGAGGGCTTCAAGGTCAGTCAGGGCAAGTCTCAGGATGGAGGCCCCGAGTTCTCCATGGTAGACGACGGCGACATTCTCATCATCGACGACATCGGCAGCAGTGAACACACCAGCGACCTCAGCAACATTAGAGTACCCGGCAACTCAGCCTTCCAGGACGAGGTGGTTCAGACACTCCTCGGGGTAAAATACGGCACCAGTCAGGATCCCTCATCACTCGGGTCTAAAATAGTCTCTGATGAACTGGTGACACCGTGGTTAGTACCTCAGAGTGTCCCAGAGCCACCACTTCCCAACCCGGCCCCCACAGTTCCTCTCTCGTTCCAGAACCATCACGGAGGCAACACGGGCTTCGACAACCACCTGGTGACCACACGACCCCAAGGTGACAAAATTGGACTCTCTAATAATGAAAATATTTTTGTATCTAAGACTGTAATACCAGAGTCCACCCCGACAAATTTCCCTGATACTGAGTTCCATCCGAGTCCCCCCGACCTGACCTTCACTGCTCGTCCCTTCAACGACGCCGCTCAGGTGGAACATGCCTCAGGTGACACGCGGGGTTTTCGACCATCTCCACTCATCTCCGTCACTCATCTTAAAGCTAACTCGGTACCTGGAGAACCCGTAGTGACCTCCCAGGGCCAGCAGCAACACAACCCCGTACACAATAACATCCAACACAACAGCATCAGCGGCAACATCTTCAAGGGCCAACTAGCAGCGCTGTTGAAGGCGTCAGACAGACCACACACTCGAGGTAACCAGAATCAGGGGAATAATAATCACATCAGGAACCCCCAGACTCTCCCCAACAAACAGGAAGACCTCTCATGGACGCCCTTCATCCCGGGTATTCCTCTGGCCATCCTTCAGCAGTTATCTCAAGCTGGCAGACGAGGACCACCGCCCCAACAGAACCACCAAGGGAACCAACAACCCTTCAACAACAACAACAACCTGCGACTCCAACACCATAACACAAGAGGAGGAAGTGTCCCAGACTCAGCTTCTCTCCCCACCAGCATCCAGGACATAATCGACGGCGCCTATGACACAGTACAGCCCATCTACCGCAAAGGAAGACAACAGGACAGTACCGCCGTGAACTCTGGCGACGGCACTGTACACGCGGGTGGAGGTGACCAAGACAACAAGTGGCTATGGCGATCTTCCTGAGTACCTCCTGTGTGTGTGTGTGTGTGTGAAGGATAAGGCAACATCTTCCCTGTGTTATCAGATCTTGGTTCCTCATGTCAACTGGAATTACCGTTTCCTTAAGTGACCTCAACACGATATCATTCAACATCTTACACATATAAAAGCACAACCACACTAAATATCAATGTTTGTTCCTATGTAATAAATATGTAGCTTTACACCTGAAGAATATAAACTGTTTCGTGTTGTCTGTGTCTAAACTGACGTTATAAAGTGCCTTTTATCTCTTGTATGGAGTTGCCTCAGTAACTCTAAGCCAAATGGTGTTAAGCATTAATAGACTGGCGTGAGAGTTTCCTGACACACATCACCTCTTATGAGTCTTGTCTCCAAGTAAACAAAACTGCTACTGAGGGGTCATACCTATAGGAGTGGTGTGTGTGTGTGAGAGTGAGAGTTCCCTGACACACACATGACCTCCTAACCCCTTGTATACGGTGGGGTAGGGGTGTCTCTGTGCTGAATAAACTAGTTTGTCATCCCGTACTGAAGGGGTTAAAGTGTCGTCTCCCTCGTAGTGTAAAGAAAACACTATTATTAAGGGATCATAACTATAAGAGTGATCTGTGTATAGATATTTAATTTATACTGTAATTTATATTCTCGACAAGTAGAATAGTTATAACATAAGTGTAAATAATGCATTAAGTGTATATTTGTAAATAAACAATACTCGTCAGGTAATGTATATAAGTTTTGTATTTATACCCAAAACAATGACGTCACTGAGCTTACCGACCAAAACAATAGTCACAGACCCAGTACAATGACGTCACTGAGCTTACCGACCAAAACAATAGTCACAGACCCAGTACAATGACTTCATCTTCGTCGAGTTATGCAACACGTGTCATTATTATGCATCAATATGTGTGACAGGTGTTGAGCAGTGTGGCAATAATTACACCACAAATGCCGTCATCTTCAAACAGCGCCTACGATCGTTACTTGGCAATTACTGTCAAACAAACGAACTATAACGAGAGACTACTTAAGGGGTTACCATCTTGTACACACACACACACACACACTATGAACGTCACTAGTACACACATGGAGTACTAGTAGTGTGGAACCTTTAAACCTCTAATAGTATTCTTTAAGGGATCACCTGAAGATTAGACCTCCCGGTATATTACTTTTAGTCCATGCCGCCTGATGCTCCTGTGTGTGTGTGTGTGTGTGTGTGTGGCTGTGTGTAATGTGGTTATACGTAAACTGTACCTATATGCAGTAAAAAAATGCGCAAGGTGGTCACGTGACGGATTACCAAACACAAGAGGTGACTTCAATGCTTCGATTCAGCTGTAATAACACGCCTCAGGGCTTCGATACATCCCGTCTCTCACAGAACAGAGTATGACACAAAAAATATGGCCTTACTCTAAAAATTGTGATTTGGTACTAGGTATTAAAACTTAAATGAGCAGTCTGACGTATCTTCTACTAGTTCTGGCATCAGTCACGTGAGGGCGCTGACGGGGATGTAAATAAACTATCTGTTGGTATTTCTGCGTCAGGTGTTATCAATCAGTTGTAACTTGTAATTACCTGTAAATATACTTGTTTTCCTGCCGTGTTTCTTTTTTCGTATTTTTATTGTTTCGTCTGACAAGTTAAGCAGAGGAATTATTGACACAGCTGAAGTGGTGAGTCGGGGAAAGGTGATGTCCTTAGTAGAGATGAAATTCAGAATGGTTTTAGCTGTGGTGGTAATGGTTGTAGTGGTGGTGATAATGGTGCTAGTGGTAGTGGTGATGGTGGTGGTAGTGGTGTTTGTAATGGTGGTAGTGGCGTTTGTGGTAGTTTGCTCTGTGTTGTGGTACTCGACTCGTCCACGTTCCTTAAGTGTTCCAGGAGCACAAAGGTTCAGACTCCAGCCACCAAGTGAGAGTGGCGCCTCAGTAACTGTTTATATATCTCTTGGGAAGTGACATAGAGTTGGATGTTTCCTGTTTATTCTCCCTGTTTACGTCTAGGTAGTCGACGGAGATTACCAGAGCCTGAAGGAAGGAAGGAAAGAAGGAAGGAAGGAAAGGAGGGAAAATAGAGAGGGATAGTGAAGGAGAAAATGAGTGAGGAAGGAAGGAAGGAAGGAAGGAAGGGATGGTGAAGGTGAGAATGGGGGAAGGAAGTAAGGAAGGAAGGAAAGTAGGGAGGCACGGTGAAGGAGAGAATGAGGGAAGGAAGGAAGGAAGGAAAGGAGGGAAAGAAGAGGCATGGTGAAGGAGAAAATGAGGGAAGGGGATAGGTGATCAAAAGTTAAATTAGACACCAAGAAAGGTTTAACTCCCTCTCCTTCCCTCTCTCTTCCCTTCTTCTCTCTTATTCACTCTTTCTCTCCCCCCTTTGTCTCTCACTCTTCCGATTGTGTAATAAATCGTTGGCTGTAGGCTTGTAGGTGTGACTCGGCTTCAGGTGTTGCTGTAGGTGTGACTCGGCTTTAGGTGTTGCTGTAGGTGTGACTCGGCTGCAGGTAAAAGTCTACCACCTGCCACACAAACCCAATAAGGATAACAGGAATGACGAGTATAATTAGGTTTTGAAAGAAGAAGTGTGTCAGTCATCGTCATTTTCCTCACCTGTGTGGTTCTGCTTGATGATCACAGGTGAGTGTCAGCGAGAACCAATTATATACAAGGGAGAAAAAGGTGAGGTAAGCAGCGCGTCGGTCATCATCGCACATAATGGCCACTCAAGACCCGTCGATACATTTACCATGGAGGATGATGGCGCACTTAGCAGGGAGGTAAACACACACACACACACACACACACACACACACACACACACACACACACACACACACAAAGGTAAAATTAAAGCTAACTTTTGAGTAGTTCTGAAGGACAGGTATTATTTTACCTGCATCATGTTTTAAGAATCTTTAAAACAACAAGACAAATATTAGACAGACGAAGACGTAAAGGTATAAAATATTTGCTTCGAAGTTTTAGTGTTTCATTCGTCCCCTTAAATGATACACAGATAAAAAAAAAAAAAACAATACTCGAAGCTTTAGTGAGTTATTTCTGCTTTAAAATATGACGTCCCCTACAGACTAACACCCAACCAATCACACACTCGAAACAAGAGAGACTGAGAAACTGACAGAAAAAGAATATATACTTCGACGGAATGCCTTCACCAGCTGGGACAGAAGTACAGGATGGTCTTACAAGATGCCCTAAGACTGTCTCCGATGACGTGAATTGGGGAAAAGTATAGTAAGTGTGTTGAGTGTGATTAAAGTATGGTGAGTGTGTGGTGTTGGCAGGTCTCGTATGTGGTGATGGGTAAGGTGTATAGTGTGTTTGTGGCAGTTCATTATCACCTCTACCGCGGCCCTCACACACACATAAACACCTCTGCCACGCTCCTCTCCATCCCCTCACACACCTCTGCCACACCCCCCCCCCCACACACACTTCTACCACGCCCCTCACACCCCTTCCACACACGTCTGCCACGCCCCTCCCACACACACACACTCGCACATGCGCTGCAACACGGGCGTTCAACAGCTGGTAGACAACTAGGTGAGTGAGCATCGACCCTGGATACCATTCACAGCTGGTCCTCCTCAGAGCATGGTGAGTACCCTTCCTCACTCCTCACACCCAGGCCTCACCTCTCCACTTAAAGATAATACTACCCCGCCCCCCCTAAAAAAAATATATTTAATATGAATTTTATCGTGTTCAGTTTTGTTGGTAATAATGGCACGATACATACATACATACACACGAGGAGTTTAAACTTACCTTATAACCCCAGGAACTAGCCACAGTGCCGCCTCTACAGAAGCCCCTCTACACCAGGCCGCCACAGCAGCGTCACCTACAGGATGGTCATCAAGCCAGACCCTAGAACACGCCTTCAATCCCTTCTACGACGTCTCACCATGTTCCTCCACGTCTTCACCCCCCCACGCCCACGACCACACTCCATCCGGCCCACACCCACGCACCTTCCAACCCACGCCCGCGCTCATATACCCTCCAGCCCACGCCAGCGCCCATACACCCTCCAGCCCATGCCCGCGGGTAGAGGGGTCGACAAAAAGTTTGAGGCGTGGAGAGAGGGCGACGGGAGTAGACAGGAAGACCTACGACCACAGGTAACTTTCAGGGACAACGATGTGGACGATGAAGTTTCTGTTTTAGCTGTTTCATCAAGTCAGTTGTCTTCTGTCATTTCAAGATTGATTGATAGATAGATAGATAGGTAGATAGATAGATAGATAGATAGATAGATAGATAAATGGGAGGTGTATCACGCTCTCTTACTTCTCCCGTTGCATTACTCACCTCTGTGTCTGCCCCCGGGTCCTGATACTGGGTGTGTGGGCAGGACGAGGCTGTGGACTGCTTCAGGAGCCTGGTACCTGTGGTGCGTCTGGCCAACGTCTTCGGGTTGATGCCGCTCTCTGTTAAGGGCGGCCGCTTCAAGTAAGTCCTCACCACTCTTGGATAGTTTTCTCTTATGTCGTTATGTCTGAGGAATAACAGAAAACGGACAAAGTTTGAGGGGTATATTCATTAATAAAGTCGCTTACAGTACACACCCACACTCATACTGTACGTAAGCTTTAGTACACATTGAAGTCATTATACGGTTGTTTTGATAACAGTGTATGTCCTGCAGGTTGGTTTGGTAACAGTGTTTCTCCTACAGGTTCGTGAGGTTGAGCCTGCTGACGGCGTACGCTCTGTTGGTGACGTCCATTATGGCACTGTTCCTGGTGGTGAGGGTCGTGGCGCTGCTGAGCCTGAAGGAGGAAGACAGTGAGGAGGACTGGGTGCCACTCCTCACCGCGACCGTCTTCTACCTTCTGGGGGCCACGGGTGCCATCCTCTTGATGCGCCTCGCCTGGGAGCTCCCTGATGTTATGGTCAGGTCAGTAGCAGATGGAAGGTCAACTTGGTTAGACCTCACATGTTGCTCTTAGGTCAATATAAGATGACACAGGTGTAGTCAAATGCCAAAGTAAATCGAATCACGCAATAACAGGTCAATTTAGGTCAATCTTTAATAGAACCCACCAACGAGAATTAAAATTACTGTTACTTTCACCTGAAGTTGCGTACAGGTCTTTAGCATCTCCCCTTGTTTGTGATTATACCTCAGGTGGGCGGGGGTTGAGGGGCGGCTGGGGGGCGTGGCGTCCTCGAGGGTGAAGCTGGTGGTGTGTGCTGTGGTGTTCATGTTGTCGGCTGCCGGGGAGACCACCGCCTCCGTCTTCTACAACATCCCCCTCAACTGTACCGTCGGCTTCTGGACGTGAGTAACGAGTCTATTTGCGAGGCAGTATGACAGCTTTTAACACGTCCACGAATCTTAGTTGAGTTTCCTAGGAGCGTCTACGCCTCCTCCTTCCTCACCTCCGTCTACGCCTCCTCCTTCCTCACCTTCGTCTACGCCTCCTCCTTCCATCACCTCCGTCTACGCCTCCTTCTTCCATCACCTCCGTCTACGCCTCCTCCTTCCATCACCTCCGTCTACGCCTCCTCCTTCCATCACCTCCGCCTCAATCCTCACCTCCGTCTACGCCTCCTCCTTCCATCACTCCCGTCTGCGCCTCCTCCTGCCTTTCCTCCGTCTACGCCTCCTCCTACAGGTTGCTGGAGTGTTACGTGGTGGCAGGACACAAGTACGAGACACAGCTCCTGGGGTACACTGACGGCACGGGCCTCGTCATCCTGCTGATCAACAAGTACGCCACTGTCGTCTGGAACTTCGTCGACGTCCTCATCGCCAGCTTCGCCATCATCCTCACTCGCCACATACGGGTCTACAATGCTCGCCTCAAGTCTGGTGAGTGAGGGGTGGGGGGAAGGAGTGAGTGAATGAGTGAGGGGGGGGGGTGAGTGAGGGTAGCCAGAAAGCGTTAAGGTGTCTAATCATCCAGTTGAAATCAATTGGGATGCCTAATCTTCAGGTGATTTTTTTTTTATAATCACATATCAACCAACTCTTCACGCTTGTCTCCCCGCGGGTGGTTTGACAGGGTGCGGGTGGTGGGGGGCGGAGGAGTGGAGGAGCGGGCGGGAGGATCATCTGGCCTTCCTTCAGCTACTGAGGGTCATGGATAAAGCCTTGGGGCCCCTCGTCCTACAGTCCTACGTCACCAATCTCTTCTTCATCCTGGTGCAGTTATACCTCGGCCTCAGGTAAGTGTCCCCCCCCTCCTCTCTATCTATTTATCTTTCACGATAACCTAACCTAACCTAACCTAACCTAACCTAACCTAACCTAACCTAACCTAACCTTATAATATTCAACGTGCTTCTTGGTTTGAACAGCATTTAGGAGTGTTTTTGTTTTAATATTTAGTTCCGTTCACATAATTTTTACGTGTGTGTGTGTGTGTGTGTGTGTGTGTGTGTGTGTGTGTGTGTGTGTCGTTCCAAACACTGTAAGAACATTTACTGCCTCACATTGAGCACTGTTCCCTTATAAAGGATGGGCATTTTTCATAATCAACTTCTATCAACATTTATCAAGTTCATCTAGTAAATGATGTAAGGCTCCCACACTGCTTACCTTGTGACGTTAAAGGCTGTACAATATCTTTAAAAACCTTTCCATTTCAAGACAAATTATTACTGACTGACAAAACTGACTAGTGTCTTGTTATGGTCGTTTATGCTGACAAACCAAATTCGGAAATGGATCAGATGCCAATTTGTTGAATCTTACATTATTTTTCTTCTTAATATTGACAATGCCATTTGAATATAACTATTATATTTTAATTGTAATGCTATTTTTTTAGGCCAGAAATAAAAAAAAAATATGTAGTTCGTGTATATAAAAGTTGAAGTAATTAATATTTTCAGTACGATAATTACGGAAGTAGTGGTTTTAGGAACAAATATAGTCCATAGATAGTCCTGTTAACTCTTGAGGTTATTACACACTCGTTTCTCAGACTAAAGAGCCTCTAGTCTACCTCAAGCAGAGTCTTCACTGAGGCTAATGGACCCCTACACGTCCCATTAACTCCTCCATACAGACCCAGTCGCCGAGAGGACGTGGTGGCTCGGTTGTACTTGACGTGGTCCTTCCTGCACCTGGTGGCTCGTCTCCTGTTGGTATCCTTCACCTGTTCTGCCATTCACGAGACCTCCAAGTACAGCCTAGTCCAACTGTTGAACATCCCCACCGAGCGGTAAGTGACTCTCTCTTTTTCTGTTTGTCTCTATACGTAATCGTGAATTTCAGGTGAAGTCATTTAATTAACCAACACCTTTTGGCCAGGTATACAGTAATTAGTAAACACTTAAGGTATGTAAAGATGGGGAACACGTGAAGAATAGACACCCCCAGCATAGTTCACCTGATGATTAAACACCTTAAAACTGCCTTGAGTGGGTTAGGTTAGGTTAGAGTTAGATTATGTTATGCTATGTTAGGTAAGGTTAGCGTTGGAATGTTTAATAATCATCATATTAAATAAGCCAGGGTGTCTAATCCTCAGGTGATCCTCTTACCCAGGTACAGCGTGGAGGTGTGGCGGCTACAGCAACAGGTACAGGAGCAGGAAGTAGGACTGTCTGGCTACGGGTTCTTCCTGGTTACAAAGAACTTTATCCTAGCTGTGAGTATCTCTCTTTCTCGCTCTCTTTATATCTATCTCTCTTTATCTATCTTTCTATATGTCTATGTGTCTTTCTCTCTCTCTCTCTCTCTCTATCTATCTATATGTCTATCTACTTTTCTATATTATGTCTCATTCATGAATAAATTAGACAGTTGTATTTACTTTCATAATAAATTAGCTGGAGTCGATTTACAATTTCATTCATAATTAAATTCCAAATCGTTTATATTTTCATTTCATTCACTAATCAATTGAAAGAAGGATTAGGATGAAGTAGCACTGATCTACTTCATTCGGTAATCAGTTAAAATTTAGAGTATTAGTTGATTCATTTATTATTTTAGTGACCTGACCTGACCTGACCTTGACCCCTACAGACCACAGGGGCGCTGGTGACCTATGAGGTAATTTTGTTGCAGCTGAACACAGGACCTGCCGCCCTCTCCTGAACATAGGTGAACATAGTGAACACCTGTGAACATAAGTGATCACAAGTTAACATAAATGATCACAGATGAACATTAGTGATCACAGATGAACATAAGTGATCACAGATAAACATAAGTGAACATAGATGAACAAATAGACGTAAATGAACAAAATAATTGCACATATTATTATTTATCCTCTAACTTAAGTCAAATCATAAAGACCCTTCCTGTATGATCATTTACAAGAGATATTTACAGCAAGTCTCACAGTTTGTTTACGTTTTGTCAGCTCAGTGTGAAGGATAATTGTTTTGTATTTTAAGCGACCAGTTCTTTGTTTTGTCTGTGGGTTTACCTGAAGATTAGACCTCCTGGCTTTATTTCCACTTGATTATTAGTATTAAACCCAATGTTACCTAGAGATTGGTTAGGTTAGATTAGGTTATGTTAGGTCAGTTTAGGATATCTTAAGTTAGGTTCAAGTTAGGTTAGGTTAAACTTAGGGTGAAATAAGCTGAGGTGACTAATCTTCAGGTGAACCCTTTTGTTTATATATATATATATATATATATATATATATATATATATATATATATATATATATATAATCTTTTAGTATATATAAAACATCACGATTGACCAGTAGAACTACAAACTCACTACTGTATATTTCTTTATATTCAACACTACAGGTTAGAGTTAGCTTATGTTATGCTATGTTAGGTTAGCGTTGGAATATTTAATAATCATCATATTAAATAAGCCAGGGTGTCTAATCCTCAGGTGATCCTCTTACCCAGGTACAGCGTGGCCATTTTTTTAACATTTAGAGCAGCTGGGGTGTCTAATCTTCAGGTGATCCGTTGAAGGAGCATAAATCTACTTTACATTCTGCTAATTAACTTACACTCTGACGGACCTGAACCAGTCACAGTAAACTTACAGGTATAAACTACTCGAAGGAAGATATATTACACTGTCTTGTTAAACATTACCAGGAGAAATTTTTTCTAACTTTCCTCAATAGAAATCGCTTGTGTATAGTAAACAGCAAAGCGTCGTGGACAGTGTGAAGAAATAAACAAAAAATATCAGGAAACGATCAACCAAAAGCTATTGTTTGTCTTCATTAAAAAAAAGAAAGAATAATTAACAAATGCTTTCTTGTCCACGATATTGTGACTGTCAGACCGAACAATGTGTGGAGGAGACCTACCTCAGTGGACGCCCATCGTCCTTCCTCATGGGCGTTTCCTTAACCAAGTGATCACAGATAACAAAGAGTAAAAATAACCATTGACATAATGCTGTTCTTATCGTAAAGTTACTTGTTCTCAATTCGGTTTTAATTTAATTTGTTTTCGAGGTTATTCATTATTCATTAACGTGTAGATTCTGTTTCGAAGTAGCATTTTCAGATGGAGTACAGATATATTTTATTTGTTTTGTTCTTATATATATAACATCGTGTATAAGCTGACTCATACCTGAAGTGGAACACCTGTGGAAGCGTAGTCATTACTTCTAATCATTCCAGTTCAACTATTACACCAACACGACACGACTCAACCAGGAATGACCACGATACGGACTCAAAGTACAGATAACGAAAAAAAATTTACACGAGGAAAATTTACACCCGGTATGATTTTAACAGCAGGAACAAATCAAGTAGCTGTTATATGTGACAAAGACCAGGAGTTAACACAGATCCTGGAAGATGAATTCAGATGGTTTTACAAGGACTTGGTTTACACACGGTTGGAGTATGGCTGTGTATGACGGGTGTACCTACAGGATGAAAGACGTCCACACACACACACACACACACACACAGAGGTATACGTGAGAAACAAGTTAGAATATAAATACAGAGAAAGGTAGAGAGATAGGGAGTAAAATAAAAGAAAGAGAGAATGTAAAATAAAGTTGAAAGAGAAAATTTGACTAAAAAATAAATGAAATAAGAGTTAATTGTAAAGAGCGAAAGATATGATAAAAGAGAGTAAGAGAGGGTACATTGGAGAGAGAGAGAGAGAGAGAGAGAGAGAGAGAGGAAGATAACTCGGCCTACCACACCCACCGTATGTACGTCTGTCGCAGTAACCCCTCATAGCTTCCCCAGTAAACTCTCTCTCCTTTTCATATAAACTTCCGTTGCATGAATCTCCTTCGTCTCTCTCACCTACTTCCTTTATTTCTATCTTCTTTTCCTCTCCTTCGCTCCTCCTCCCCCCTCATTTATCAAAATTGGTGATACGGTATTAAGAAATAAGTCCCTCTCTTCCATCTTTTTCCTCTCTCCCCTTCATTGCCTTCTCGATTCTTCCTTTTTCCTCCCCTCTCCCTTTCTCTGTCTCCTCCTCCTCCTCCTCCATCCCTTCCTCCTTGCTTGTCTCCCAACCAAACCCTCTTCATAATCCTCCTAACCATAGCTTTCATTCACACCTAATCCCCCAACCCACCCCCACCCCACCCATCCCACCCCACCACCCCACCCCCACCCCACCACACCCCAACCCCCACTCGACCACCACAACATACCATCACAACACACCATCACACCACCACCACCACATCACACCACTACCACAACCACCACATCCACTCAAATATAAATAGAACTTGTGGTTTAAACCTTTACAACACTCAATATCCTGACCCCAGAGTGCTGTGTGGCCCAGACCAAACAGGACCTACCAGCCACAGAGACGAGAGGACGATTATATCACTTTATTAGCGTCTACGGTCCTCAAGTTCCACATTTCAATGACATAACATTAATATCTTAGTTTGTTTTGATGATAAACCAACAAAGTCCTCTGATGATGATGATGATGATGATGATGATGATGATGATGATGATGATGATGATGAAACCCTGCCTCTTGTAGTCACCTGAGGAAGGTGTGTGTGTGTGTGTGTGTGTGTGTGTGTGTCATAGTCACTCACACACACTGACAGTCCTGAGTGAGAGACAAAAGAGAGAGACGTGAGAGACAAAAGTGGGTGGAGAGAACCATTGCCTGGATGAGTGATGGACCACACCCTAGAGAGACACTACTGACCAAGGCTTGACCATCCCTCACCCGCTGACACACACACACACACACACACACACGTTATGATATAATACTGGTGCTTACAGATACCCCCTGTGGTGACTCCAACCACCACCACCACCACAACCAACAACAACGACACTAATAACAACAACAATAACAATAATAACACCACCACCACCACAATCACCACCAACACCAACAACACCACCACCAACAACGACACCACCAATAATAACAACAACACCACCACCACAATCTCCACCAACACCAACAACACCACCACCAACAACGACACCACCAATAACAACAACACCACCACCACCACAACCAACAACAACGACACTAATAACAACAACAATAACAATAATAACACCACCACCACCACAATCACCACCAACACCAACAACACCACCACCAACAGCGACACCACCAATAACAACAACACCACCACCACCACAATCTCCACCAACACCAACAACACCACCACCAACAGCGACACCACCAATAACAACAACACCACCACCACCACAATTGTTTTCATGTAGACAAACACAAGCTTACTTTAAGTGTTTGTTGTTTAAGCTGGACGTGAATTTTCCATTGTTCTCAACTTGTATATGTTAATGAGATGTGCACAAACATGCCTCGTGTGTGGGGGGGGGGTACAGTATGTTTGTTTATTGGTAATATCTGAAATCACCTGAAGATTCACCTAATAGGGATAGTTTACCTTATGATTAATTACCTTACAGATACCTCGGGAGTTAGGTTAGGTTAAAGGAAGAAGAGGAACAAGAGGAAGAAGAGGGGCAAGGGGAAGAAGAGGGACAAAGGGAAGAAGAGGGACAAGGGGAAGAAGAGGAGCAAGGGGAAGAAGAGGGAGAACGATAAGAGGTGTTCGGTGTCCGGGGGCAGAGTGAAGAAAACTCAGGTCAGTCTTTTTCATCACCTGGTGTTAACGAACTGGAATAGAATGGGGGCGAATAAAGGGGAACTACGAGAGAATGAAGATGAGTAAAGAGGAACTAGAAGAGAGAAGTAAACGCTATTATTCCTTTCCTCTGTTACTCTTTACG